CAATAATTCCGGTACTCCATCTGGAAGGCTGGGTGACCTTTTGGCCAGAATCCACGTCGCCCAACCCCTCGGCGGAGTGACCCGCGAAGCCGTCATACCCGAAGCAGTCCACTCCTGAAGAAATATGATAAGAATGACCCGAATAAACGCCGACTTGCAAGGGATACGGAAGAAGAGAATGGCGGCGCAGGAGTCTTTAATGTGGATCTAAAGGAGAATTACCTACTTGCCAATGATGAGTGGAAACACGATAAAATCCCTGAAGTACGGAACGGCAAGAACATCTATGACTTTGTGGATCCTGATATTGAATCAAAACTCGCTGCACTGGAAGAGGAGGAGGAAAAACTGGAGGCGGAGGGATATTACGACTCCGACGAGAGCGTCGAAGACGCAGAAGAAGCCAATATCCGCATGAAAGCAGATCTCATTCGCGAGAAACAGCAGCTGATCCGCAACGCGTCCAAGATGCGCAAATCGCTCAAGAACCGCGCGTTGATCCCCCGCAGCGCCAAGGCCCGCAAATTGTCTGAAATGCAATCACATCTGGAATCGATCGGATTCGACGCAGCGTCTGCATCTACCCGTGTGCAAGGGCAGACGCAGTCTCAGACACAGTCCCGAGGCCGGGGACTTACCCGAAGCGACATGGAGATTGCAGATGCTATGGATATCGATGGCAGTGGCGACGACCGGAACGCCACACGCCAGGAGTTGCTTCAGCGAGCCAAGAGCCGGGCTCGCAGCCAGGCGCCGGCCAACCGACTCGTGGACGGCATAACTGACATGAAGTCTCGAAGCAAGGCGGATAAAATGGCGAAGTTAGCACAGATCAAGATGAATCGGATGGCGAGACAAGGCGAGGCGGACCGACATACAACCGCTTCTTTGCCGAAACATTTGGTGAGTTGTTTTTATTTTATTTAATTATTATTTTATTTTTTTTTACCCCCTTCACTGTTCTCATATATGGAGAAATACATGCTAATTGATCTTTTTCTTTTTCTTTATGTAGTTCTCTGGGAAACGTGGCATGGGCAAGACTCAACGACGCTGAGCTACTGGGTGCTGGCGTTTAACGATGAAATGAGGGTCAGAGTCCCGGGTCTATGAAATGGAGTTCGCGGCTTGTTTTATTTTATTCTATACTTTTTGTTCCTTTTTATTGTCCAACCGTTGTCTGTTCATATCCAACCCATCTTGTTTTATGATCCACACTTTAATAGACTCGGGCGCATTCATTGATAGCGATCGTCTCATGATTTTCAAATAATACACTATAGTATAAGATTATACTGCATGGGACTTCGAGCCTGGAAAAATCCCTGCCTGCTCGAAGATCTTGTTGGACATAGGCGCAAAAGCCGTACATAGCTCAAGATCATCCGTAGACTGGTTTGCCTTTGCCAACGATTTGTTTATCTGTACGTGAAAATGAATATGCCCTTAACCGGAGGCCCTTTGTTCGTTCCTGGGTTTTCGGACGGTCAAGACGGGCCCATAGCACCCGCTGTACCGTACGTAATACGACTGAAAATTCGTCTGCGTTGGGATATCCTGGATCATATCCCCCATACTATGTATCGACTATGTAGGACAGGTTGCGCTGCTAGCGAGACTTGTTTTATTTTATTCAATCGGCCGTGTCGCTCTTACAATCAAACATTCCAAGTCAGGGGCTGCGCAGCAAAGCAGATACTGCTCAAATTACGAAACAAATGTTCTTAATGATCTTCTGTCGTGTTGAGACAGTTTCTCATTGATGTAATGTCTCGATAACGGTCATACGACTGCTCACCGGTGACTGGCGTGCACCACAAGTGAAAACCTGGGTGTTCATCGACTGAATCGAGAGGACGGGGAGAGGATGTTTGAGCAGGAGAAGATTGAGGTTTATCAAATCGAATCCGAGTGTGAGGATTCAAGCTTCATCAAATTCACCATGAATAACATGGGTTATTGATAACTTGAAGCTGCCGTTGCCAATCATTTAGTTATTAAGTTAACTTGGTAAGTATAAAATTGAAACCAGAGCTCTCTCGATGAGAATATGGCAAAGAATAATCGAGATATAAATATACCAGGCATCAATCATGTGACAAGCGGCCTCCAACTGGTTGGTTCCAGCCATGGCCGTCGTCATGTGCCAGCTGCAGCTTCTCTCCGCTTCTCCTCTCAACAACTCCTCATCGTGGACCTCACTCCTCAACACACTTCGCTAGCATTCTAGCTGCCCCTCTCCCTAAGAATCAACACGTCTTAACACTATTATTATACTGTTGGAGAAGTTATACCTAAGA